TATTGTAATTATATTTTAATTATATTATTTTTATATAATAAATATATTTAGCAAAAACTATAAGTTTCTGTAAAGTACGCTTAAAAGGTATGATTTCAGATCGGATGGTATTGCATATTTACTTGTTGTAATTGGTGAAGTTTTAGGTAGTGGCAAAATAAAAATAGAAGGTTTCACACATACTGATTTGAAAGCTTATGCACGAAGATTTTTTGAACTGGCGCTGAGTTACGAACTTGTGGAGGAGGCAAAAGAGCTAGATAAATGCATCAGCAAATTACGACAAACCAGTCAAGGGAGCTTTGATAGTTGTAAGCTTAAAGATTCTGTGCCATTAAAAGAGAGTCCAATGATGGCACTAGTATACCTACAAGACTCTATAGAAATGCCCTTTTTTTCAAGACTTGAGGAAATACGTAATATTGCAAGAATTAATATTGCACTCCTTAATATATTAGAATTAGATATGGACGCATATGAAGTGGCCAAAAAACTTGTTGAAGAAGTTCGAAAATCTGTAAGGGAAAATTACCAATATGTAAGCAAAGCTAAATTACGCTTAGAAATCTTGGAGGATTTCTTGAGGATTATTAGTGAAGATCTATTTGATCCATCTTTTTTCATCACATTTCCCATTGCAACAAAGTCTGTTCCGGAAATAGATAATAAATATATTAATTACTTGAATAACCAACAGTCTTTCAACCAAAGTAATGAATATTATGAAGCGGTTTACTTTGAAGATTTGGCTGAAAAAGAAGTCAAAATTAACATGTTAAATAGTTTACGTCATTGGCAATCTGCTCAAAAAAATTATAATATTGCGCGTGAACTAGACCCTGATAATCCGATTTATTCCCTTGGATATGCAAAATGCTTATTAAAATTATCTAAATATACTCAAGTTATCAAGCTTTCTGATACATGTTCAGGCTTAAATTCATTATCAGAATACTGGCATTTTCGTAGCGTAGCTTATTTTGAGCAAAACAAGTATATAGACGCTATGTCATGCAATTCTGAGGCACTAAATTTGGATCCTGGAAATAATTCGGCTGGTAAACATAGAGAACTTATCAAAAAATTAAATGCAAATAATATAATTGAACAACACATTGATCGCTATAAAAGAGTGTTAATATATGACACAGATTATTTGAATAATGAGCGTCCTATCTACCATATTTTATCAATTGATGGAGGAGGAATACGCGGGGTATTGCCTGCATTATGGCTTAGCGAGATAGAATATCGCACTCGTAGACCCATTTCTCACCTATTTAATATGATAGCTGGAACATCGACTGGTGGGGTCATTGCTGCTGGATTATCGGCACCACATTTCAAACCTATCTACAAGACAAATAATCATATTGAATATGAATATTCAAATTTAATCCCACTATTTTCAGCATCGGAATTATTGAACCTTTATAAGAACGAATCCAAAAATTTGTTCACTACATCAACATCATTGTTCAATATACCTATATTGTCCAAAATATACAATAAGTATACAGATGAGGGTCGTTATACTATGTTTGAAAAATTTTTTGGTAAAACAAGGTTAAGGCATTCTCTTACTGAATTGGTTATTCCTGCTGCAAATGAAAACTACTCGCATTTATTTACTCGCTATGATGCAAAAAATATCGAGATAAATAATACATTCGTTGACATATTAATGGCAACAACAGCTGCACCTACGTTTTTTCCGCCTTATAAAATCGGGAATAAAACTTTTATAGATGGAGGAATACATCTTAATAACCCAGCATCAACTGCTTATAATGAGTCTATTCGATATAATGGGTACTGGACATTATTTACCAGATCCTTCAGATCCTGATCAATATAATTTACTTTTTTGGGCACAAAATTTTCCTCGATTGATGACATCTACACAAGAAAGTAATACGGATCGTGAAATGTACAATTATTTAAAAAATCGCTATCAACGATGGCAAGTCTTTTTTGAGGAGCCTATAAAATTAGATGACCATGAAAGTATTCCTTATCTTTTAGAATTAGGCTATCAATATATAGAAGAGCTTGATTGTTCTGATGAAAATCCTATAAATAAGTTGGTAGAGTCTTTTAATCACTAAAGTTATTTTTGAATTTTTTATATTCCATATATCGCATTATTATGGATGACAAGATATTAGAGATTCAAGCTGATAATCAAATCAAATCCTCCAGAATTAATTCCAAAACCGATGATCAAATCAATTTTTTAAAATTATTATATTCATCTCTATTCATCTCATAAATATTTTGGCTAGCATTGTTAGTAATTCTGTCCACCCAGTTACAAATGGAAAGTGTTATATTTGGCTAAATTTTACTCAAATTTGTTTTGATTACATTTACAGTAGTACATTATTCTGGATATAATGAATTCTGAGTATAGCGAATCTTTTATAATGAACACACCCTATAGTGAACGTTCCCATTATATCAAATTTAGAGTATAACATCATGGTAAATTTTATACGTATAACGACATTGATACTATTATAATAATCGTTACAGAGTTGACCATAAATCATTTGTACCAATGCTGTAATATTTTTTGGTCTAATTATTCTAAATATATGAGTGTCGCTAAAAGAAAACCCGAAAATTTAAATATGACTTATATTTAAATTGTCGGGTTTTCTTTTAGCGACACTCATATGATGTAGCATACCATGATTTTTTTTTAAACTTTTAGACTTCAGTATAAGGTCTTAGACCTATGGGCTTTCTATATACCCGTGTACAAATAGAAATTGCCTTTAAGATATATATTTATTAACTCTAATAAAGCTTGAGTTAATTGTATGCTTAACTCTATACACCAATATTTATAAACTTTTTTAGGAACTATATTCTATAAGACACAGGTTACAATAAAAAATAATATATTTTATGGGTATTAAACAAATTAAGAAGTAATTAACAATAACAATACAAATTTTTGTATTGTTAGTGTTATATACAAACACATAATAAAAACTTACATTAAATAGTAATCATATATTATTGTTACTAAAATTTAGAGCACATCTTACAAACCAATGTAAACTCAATTTCGCAAATTCGCCAATATAACTTGAATTAGTGTTTATAATTTATAATATAGTTTATAATTTCTACAAAAATCCAAAACCCAAGTTTGATCAACTAATATATCATAAATTTTTATTGATAAAATTTAACAATAGTCCTATATATATTTATAAGATTTTGAAATTAATTTTTGCTGACTTATTGGGATTTGGAATTTGTTGGAATTTTGCTATAATTATTTATGTAGTTTATGATATATATTCACGATAGCTGTTGCTTATATCGGGATCATGTAAGTGATTAGATAAACAGGCATTTTAGAATATCTAGTTATTCGATAATATCACATATAAAATTCATTTAATTCATGTAAATAGGAAGATCAACACTCTAATAAATCAAACAATAGTTCCGAACTATATATGTTTAATTATTATGTTCGGATTTTTTAAAGGTTAATTTCACATACGAATTTACATATGAATTTGCACTGATTTAGGTACACTTTTTTACCTAACTAACAATTAAATTAACCTTTAAAAAATCCGAACGTAATAATTAAACAATATAGTTCGGAACTATTGTTTGATTTATTAGAGTGTTGATCACCCTAATGTAACGAGCATAGTTTTCAACCTAGTTTTATTAACTCTTGATTTATTAATGACTTATCGTTAACTGACTTTATTATTTCTGAAAAGTAATGTGCATTATATTGATGACATAACGTGCAATTTAAAATATTTAAATAGATACGTTATTAATTTGTGGCCTACAAAGCTATTTCAGCAGACAAAGTACTATATTATTTTATTCTCTACTTGAACTATTCTTGCATACATGTTATGAATAGTTTTAAGTTACTGGATTCTACAATTGATGGTCTAAGTGCATAAGAGTGAAAGCCTGCAACTTGCATATAATGATTGACTATAGTAAATTTTAGGTTTTCACTCTTATAAAGTGCTGGAACATCCAATGTTAAAAGATGGTGATACATGTATGGTTTGAGTTGTCACAAAAAGGTGGACTGTATTTGGTCTGTATGCCCATGTCAATTCAAACGTGAAGGTTCATAAATCGTACGTGTCTTTTCAGCAATTACTAAGCTATTTGATGGAACGGGTAATTAAACGAAATTTTCCAATGAACATTTATAAGATGACTTTACAATAGTTAAAGTAAATATATCAGAAAACTGCCTCACTCTTCAAATATATATATATATCAGAAAACAAATATGACTGGATATATGTAACATTTTACAAGAAAACCTTTTCATTAAGACCAAAAGCATTTTTATTAACAAAGATTTTGAGATATTTCAATTTTTTAAAAAAAGTTCTTTGCAAACGATGATTTTTTTTAAAAAAATAAAATAGCTCAAAATTATGTTAATAAAAATGCTTTGGGTGTCTTAATGAAGAAGTTTCCTAGCAAAATTTTACATATATGTAGTCGCATTAGTTTTCTGGTATATAAACTTTAAGTATCGTAAAGTCCTCTTATAAATGTCCGTTGGAAAATTTTCGGTTAATTACCTGTTCCATCAAATGGCTTAGTAATCTGCTGCAAAAGGCACGTACGATTTACGAACCTTCACGTTTGAATTGATACGGGCATACAGGCCGAATATGGTCAACCTTTTCCATGCCAACTTGGACAATACACATGCAAAGCCGGCCCATTAACCCCCGTGTCATTTACACGTGCCAATACACTGTTTTTCCAAACCAATTTTCTTATAGGGAGCATGTTTTATTTTTAGGAAAAATACATCGATATTGATGATAGTGATAAAAGTTCTTTCTAATTATTAAAAGAATCATACATCATGATCAAATAGGCTATGTGCTAGAAAAGGCAATTTTTCAAAAAAACTTTTTTGGGCTTAACTGATCCAAAATTAGCCCAGAAAGTTTTTTACTTAGGAACAAATATATAATTATTATAAAAATTTATATTATAAAAATCAATTTTCTGCAAAACTTTTTTTTTGTTAATTTGATTCCTTTTCTCAGCACCAAGCCCAAATTATATAATGGGTGTCGTTGGGAGTAGTTGAGAAAATGAAACTGCGCGCCTTCGATTTTATCGATTACGTACCGATTTGGCCCTCTAAAACCTGATTACAGTACATATTGATGTATCACAGATCAGATTTTTCACGAGCAGATTTTGATAAATAATAAATGATAAACTTGAAGCTTTAAATCTTATTTTTTTCTTAGTAGTACACAAAGGGCTTCTGTACATTTATATTTTATTTCGTTTAACTTTTATTACTATATTTCCATCTTTTTTTATTAATTTTATTTTACTTTTTACTTCTAATTTCAGTACATTACGAAACATTAAATCTTATATCGTTTATTCATCATTTTTTATCTATCAATACATCAATATCCAATATCATCGTTGATTACTATTCTTACAATATGGGATCATTGTTAGTCTAAAGGGTCATTTGATATGATCATTATACGCCATATCGAGTTGCCTTTATTATGATTCCAAAGGGTGGAATTATTACAATTACAAAATTGGAATTACTATAATCCAAAATTAGATGTGTTAAAAATTTAGCTATGCATACAACGAATATTCAATGAATTTATCTAAATGTTAATTCAATTTTTTGACCAATCTTCAGATATTTAAGGAAAAAAACAAATAAATATCTAGTTGATTATTTTTAACTTTAAGTATTCCTGTAATATTGTAAATGACGAATTATTAATTCTGTGAAAATTTGATAGCAATACTGAAGATGGTGATTAGAAATTTTGTAGATTTATAGCACCGTTTGCATAACAACTAAACATGAATTTATTTTTAATATAGATTTTAATTAATAGTGAATAAAGATAAACAAATCATTAAATTTTAAATTTCATTTACACAGCTTATAAGCATAGTAACACTAGTCTAATAAATTTGGGAACACTATGTAATTTTATTTAAAAAAAAATTCATTCGATATTAGATTAGGTTAAAATTCTGCTGGTAGATTATTTTGAGTTATGAATAATCTTAGATTGGTTTGTTTTTTTTTTGTATTTGTTCTGTAAAGTGCTTTCCGCGCAGCTTGCCATATGCCTGTTCCAAGTGAAGTTAGAAATATTCTTGCGGGGATGGTAAAATTTTTTTTGGTTTTAAGGCAGATGAAATTTATGATATGAAACATCATAAAAATTCAATTGAAAGAAATATTGCAACATGATTTAATATCAAATATTTTAAATTGCAATTATCAAATATTTTAAATTATAATTATCAACTGTTTCTTAAATATATGACAGAGTGCATTTATCATCCCTATACTTGTGTCATAGTATTCATCAGCTAATCACCCTGATTATAGTGATAACGTAAATTTTAGTTAAAGTTTTAAGATTGATTTTTTCGATAACTAGTAATTAGAATTGGCTTAAATTTTTACTACAAGTATTATCGATATCAATTTATAACAATAAAATTTTTGCGAATTTGGACCAATAATTCTTGAGCAATCACTTGTAAATGATAGATGATTTTTTAAAAATAATTAAAAATTTTTACTAAAATTATTAGATAATTGTTGAAATATTTTAATTTAAATTTTTAAAAAAAAGTTTCTAAAAAAAATTTGTTCATTTCAATTGACTTTCTCATAATTGTAATTGATAATGTTATTAATTGACTAGTAATCGATAATAATGATTAATCTGATTATAGTCATTATTTATCGCTGAAAAATTTCCTGATAAAAGTCTTTATCCACTTTAAATATAACCATTTTGCCTTTTCAACTAAAAATTTCATATAACCAATATATATTGTTCAGGGTCCTGGCATCAAAATAAAATTTGATCAGGAGATCGGATTATCGTGTGACTGCTCCCTCAATTGGTGGTTAGGTTGTATTTGCTGGAGTGTTGCACATGGTAATTCAAATTTGATAAAAGTAATGCATTCAATATTTTGAAAAAATTATTTCATCACACGTAACATATAATTTCTTTGTAATGTCTTGAGTCGGAATGTCAAATACAAAAGACAATAATTCATCAAA